GTTACTGGAGCAGTAATCTCTGTTGAATCTTCTGTTACTGGAGCAGTAATCTCGGCTGAATCATCAGTGGTAGAATGGTCAGTTGCAGTAACAAGCGCAAATTGAGAAGAAGTCTGTTCAACTGTTGGCGGTAATTCTTTAGAAACTTCTGCTGAATCTTCTGTTACTGGATCAGTAATCTCTATTGAATCTTCTGTTACTGGAGCAGTAATCTCGGTTGAATCTTCTGTTACTGGAGCAGTAATCTCTGTTGAATCTTCTGTTACTGGAGCTGTAATCTCTGTTGAATCTTTTGTTACTGGAGCAGTAATCTCTGCTGAATCTTCTTTTACTGGAGCAGTAATCTCGGTTGAATCTTCTGTTACTGGAGCAGTAATCTCTATTGAATCTTCTGTTACTGGAGCAGTAATCTCTGTTGAATCTTCTGTTACTGGAGCAGTAATCTCGGTTGAATCTTCTTTTACTGGAGCAGTAATCTCTATTGAATCTTCTGTTACTGGAGCAGTAATCTGTGTTGAATCTTCTTTTACTGGAGCAGTAATCTCTGTTGAATCTTCTGTTACTGGAGCAGTAATCTCTGTTGAATCTTCTGTTACTGGAGCAGTAATCTCGGTTGAATCTTCTGTTACTGGAGCAGTAATCTCTGTTGAATCTTCTTTTACTGGAGCAGTAATCTCTGTTGAATCTTCTTTTACTGGAGCAGTAATCTCTATTGAATCTTCTGTTACTGGAGCAGTAATCTCTGTTGAATCTTCTGTTACTGGAGCAGTAATCTCGGCTGAATCATGAGTGGTAGAACGGTCAGTTGCAGTAACAAGCGCAAATTGAGAAGAAGTCTGTTCAACTGTTGGCGGTAATTCTTTAGAAACTTCTGTTGAAACTTCTGTTACTGGAGCAGTAATCTCGGTTGAATCTTCTGTTACTGGAGCAGTAATCTCGGTTGAATCTTCTGTTACTGGAGCAGTAATCTCTGTTAAAGCTTGTCTTTCTGGAGAAGTAGATAAATCTTTGGGAGGCACAATCTCTGAAGATGTCTGTTCAACTGCTTGCGTTGTTGATATATCGAGCTGCTCATCAGATTTTTGATGGTCTTTAGAATCCTTGGTGGTGGGAGGTTGGAGAATTGTTGTTGTTTCCCGTTCTTCTGAGACATCTACTTTAAATGTTGTTGTCGGAGGAATGGTACCTCCTGTACTCTCAGATGTCTGTCCGACAGTTAAGCGTTCTCGTTTAGAGTCCACTGATGAAACTGGCGTTATTGTTGTTTTAAAAAGGATGATGCCTTTGGAAGAAGTTATTGAAACATCTGGAGGTACGATTTCAGACGTTGTAGAGACATCTGGAGGTACGATTTCAGACGTTGTAGAGACATCTGGAGGTACGATTTCAGACGTTGTAGAGACATCTGGAGGTACGATTTCAGACGTTGTAGAGACATCTGGCGGTACGATTTCAGACGTTGTAGAGACATCTGGCGGTACGATTTCAGACGTTGTAGAGACATCTGGCGGTACGATTTCAGACGTTGTAGAGACATCTGGCGGTACAATTTCAGACGTAGAGACATCTGGCGGTGCTCGTAAAGACATTGTAGGCTGTTGAGCACTTTGTGATGTTCGTTCAGTTACTCCTGTTGGAATTTCCGTGTTATCAGATCTCCTTATAAGCAACAGATTCTTTTCTCGATCCACTTTGTCTGACATTTCGATAGCATCCCTCAACGACTCCACTGCGACAGTGACGGTCATGCCGACGTTCACCGGTCGGGGAAAAATGAGGTTTCCATGGGTCTGGTCGTGGGTCGTAAATGGGGCCACATTTCCTGTATCCACTGCAGTGAGACCCTCTGCAGTCCAACAATCTTTGTTTACCAATTCGTAAACTTCAGAGCGCAGGCAGGCAGTGTCGGCAGTCTTTCTAAAGATATCTCTCAGCTCTAGAGGCTTTCCTGAGAAGACCATGGAAGCTGCCTCCTCGAGATAAAAACTTAACTCACTACCTGTTGAACACTCTCTAAGGTATGCTGAGTTCCTTATATCTGTCCTCCAATCCTCCAACGCTTCAAAGATACTTTCAACGTCGCTGTTGAGATGCGAGCGGTGTCTGTCCAGCCGTAAAGTCAGTTCGTTTAACAGGTATGAAATTTCTGTAAACTGGTGAAGACATCCACGTGCCACATTTTTACAAGTACTGATACATGGCTTAGCCCCTGCAGTTTCTTTAGAGCAAACCTGGCACATCTTTAGCTCAAAGTTTTGCCCAGAATACAGACCGTTTTTCATCACTGCCAAGACACAGTCCTCAGTAAGGTCCATATCTCTGGCAGCTTCAAGAGTCTCCTTTATCACCTCAAGACCATTGTAAAGCACTTTTAGCCGGTCAGTTGCTGTCCTGATGCTTGGAGCAAGTTCCCTTACAAACAGGCTCGTATGAGGCTTCTCCAGACAAGACTCACGAATCATCAAGGGAATTGCTGCTCTCGCAAGATCCTCGTAGGTCAGGTTTTCGTCGTTCTTCAGCATAGCATTAAACTCCTTCCGAAACAAAGTCGGAATTAGTGAGCTCTCAACTAAATTGCCTAGCACGTGTAACGTGTTCTGAAGCTCTGTGTGGAGCAGGTCCTTGAAATCAGTTGAGACAAGGTCTCTCATCAGCTGGTCCGTATTCTCGTTACAGCAGCTCTTTGTGAACATATCACACACTTGGGAGCCATCCACTTTCTCGGGTCGGGCGTTTGCCTGTTCTGCGAAGACATTGAATGTTTTCGAGCACTTTCTGGAGCTTTGTGGTGCTGCCACAGTATGTGAGATTAGCAGCACGATGGGGAGAAATTTCTGGACGCAAAACATCACAATTCGAACTACTGAACAATTGATTGATTATAAATTCAGTTCATTGGGAAATCAAAGACGACACGGCGTATACTAAAGTCGATGTAGGGTTTGGCTGAAGCTATTGTTATAAGCTCATCCAGGGTTTAAGCGAAAACAACCTAACCTTCATCAGCCCTTATACATGATTTTCAAAATGTTGTTTAAACGAACTAACAATAGCAAAAAGAACCGGACAATGTATATATGTAGACAGAAATCCTTGGAGGAACAACTGCCAATTTAATCTCTAGAGACGATGAGAAGACGCAGACCGATTCTTGGAAATTATATGAGTCTTGTATTTGTAATACTGATTCATGACTGCCAATCTACTGCCAACATGGTATAGTTTCAAGGTGTTGGCACAATTCATTAGCTGTCAACCAGGATGAGGAGGCATAATTGAATTTAACCGCATGCGGTTTTATTGGTGTCGTGTGGTCGATACCTTTACTGTAATTGGAAGAAACTTAGCTTTATTACAACTTTTATTCAGATAGTTGGGAATTTACAGCGGTTTTAGGATGCGATCAAATATGCAGTCAGCAGTGCAGTACAGGTTCAGACAGATCAGACAAAAAAGTTATTTTAACGAAACCATACCTTTCACAAATCACAGCGTTATGATTGTCATCGATATGGTCACTCCAGATTTTACATTGAACAATCAATGAACATGATACGACTAAACACCTTTCTAGAAAATTATGCAACCCAAAATAAATACAAGACTAAGAAATACTTTGCATGAATACATAAAATGAACGTGACATGCATTGTGCAGACTGCAGCGGTAATATGGATTGTGTTGAAACGTTGAAGTTCAGTTTCCTTTACCTGAAAAGAGCATTTTCCCTTGGTCGCATATAATACGGAATTATCAGAAACATCAAAACAATGCGACTAACAAATAATTTCCTTACCCGGATATTACATACAACAATTAAACACATTTAAATCACTGGGTTTGGGGCTCTTACTTGCTCTTTAAGTTACAGGTTTTCTCTACCACTTATCCAACACGGCTATCTGTAAAATTCACTGAACACTGTCTCAAATAGCTGATTAAATATAGCCTTTACAAGCTCTGAAGCTCTACTTAGAGTGCATCGTACACATATGTAATACCCTAGGTTAATAGCTTAATAATGAAAAGAGTCAGTAATACACATTATCAACTAGTAATCAACATATAATTAATGGCAACGAGTGTAACCAGTTTTTAATTTACTAACTTTTTAATTAATTGTATTAATGAATACAATTTTGTCAGGAATGTTGGAGTTATAACACCCGGTGCTATGCTGGACATTCCCGAGTATGTTGCCAGGCTACAACAGCGTGGCATCTCATTCGAGATCACCAGTTCGGTCAAACCATCCTGAATCCTGATATAATATTAGAGGATCAGACACAGAATAATATCAGTTTTAACTACAGTTACTTACATGTTTACCAGGTGTTCTTGAATAATGGATATGTGAATGAAGTGTACTGAACAGATGTTTTTGATTACAGCTTCTTTGTGTAAATCTTTTGATTAAATTATTAATGTGATAATTTTTAGTAATTTTGAACTTCTGAGTCGTCCATTTGAGTATCATTTGAGTATCATTGTAAGTGTTATTTTTGCCAACTTAGAACTAAATAATCAAGGTTATCAACAGTTAACAAAGAACCTGAAACAAATTATCTCAATTAAATTCAGTAATAGCTCATGAATAACAACTTTACATAATATAAAATGTGACCATATCTTAATTATCAAGGCATTGAGTGCATTCACTTTCAAATAATACATTGATAGTATATTAGCGCTGGTAGCATATAATGGTAGTACATCATATTTCTACAAATTGTGCAATTCACTACGTTTCCTTTGCACACTACTGAAAGTAAAGTAACATTGTGTTAAAGTATCTCCTGTTATTATCCGAGACATATTGTTGTTATAATAGTATTATATAGGCTGCTTTCCTTGTCCTGTATTAATCTACACGCAGTTTGCTAATGAAATGTTTTACGAGCAGTGCCCTTAGCAATCGGTGCGAATTTAACCAGTTACTTTACGATAATATCCAATATTGTGTTGTATTTTATTTTGTTGAACAAACGTTTTTCCTTATAGGATGGCGAAGGTCATGGACCAGCCAAGCATATACTTTGTAAGTAGTTTAGTTTCAAAATGATTATACATCTTATGCAATGTTGGTATAACTTAAATGTGATAAAAAAGGCTTAATAAACTTTGAAATTTATGTGCCTATACATGTGTGCCTATACATGTGTGTATAGTACGTACTAAATAACATTTCTCAGTATTCAGTCCATTAAAATTAGAATCAAAATTTCTCTACTGATTTATTATGATAGGTACTAGAACTCTACCATAAGTGTAGATGAACTAAAAGATGTTCAGGGATTATTTACATATTACATATTACAGAAGCTAGATTTAAGCCATTTTAGACCCCCTGCCCCCCCCCCCCCTCTTATGTAATGTGCGAAGGATCCTGACAATTAAGGAATCAGTATTTCCATTCTCTCAGGCGGAGTATTCCATATTGACCGAGCGACTTGTTAACGATAAAGATGCAGTGGACATGATCAGTGAGTTTTGGGATAAGCTTGCCCACATCGAGTACAACTATGCAAGAAGGTATGGCAACTATGTGCTCTATTTGAACTTTTAGTTTACAGTGCTCTATTTGACGGATTAGGTCGTACACCCACAAAAATCTTGATGATCTGTAAATATGCACGTATCTCATGCAGACTGCTAAATAATTGGATTTCTATCGAATATATCGATATTAGTATAGCAGTAACAGTGCCCAGCACTTTTAAAGACACTTTTTTGTTACTGGCATTATTCCAGCGACGTTAGTAAGGGCTCACTTTTAAAATGTACATCTCAACAATATTTCCACTTCAGTATTGCTCAACTGTGTAACAGTAGACAGGGTAAACTATTCAAAATGTTCAACGATAAACCATCTGAGTGTTTCAGGTAAGGTTATCATCAGTTTTAGACCTTGTTTTTTCCTTCGAATAGTGTTTAAAACACAAGTTATTAGAAGAATCATTATTTTCTGGTAGTTATGACATGTTATAATTGCAATTTGTCGATCTTCTCATTTTCTAGTATAATGTAATCAGATATATTAAGCAAACTGTTAAAACAGTTTTTTAATATTCACTGGCCACCATCTGCATTGCAACATTTTCAGGCCATTGCAAAGTCTGTGGGGTGCAGTGCTAGAAGATATGTTAACGTACTCTGAATCTCATCTAAATGTGGCATACACATTGCAACGAGAAGTGAAGCCTGCTCTCAGCTCATTCAGCCAAGAAGACTTGGCTAAACAGGTGCATGCACGGTTATAACAATATTATCAGGTCATTATAACTGATTAGGTTATTATACAGTCGACACGGATAATTCTTCAGGCTGTAACACGGATTGTTTACGTTTGTGGAGAGTCTTCTCAAATTAATTTTGGAAGGCGCTGTGTAACTAATTATTAATATGTTCGCGCACACGAGTGTTTATTTTTGCGCGCGCGGGCGTGTACTAGACTTGAATCCTAGAGGAGTACAGGCAGATTTGGAAGTCTATCTTGTCCCTATCATCGAATTCTGGCTACCGTAACATGTAATGCATTGTAAAGCCGACATTGCATGTGGCCACTTATGACTTACGTAGCGCAATTAATATTTACCACCATTAACCGAGATTGAAATACATTTCTGTACTCATCACGACCTTGCTGATGAGTGACTCTAACAGCGTAAGTCAATTAAAATCAATAATTTTGTCTATCCTACTGAGAGTTAAGAATATACATCCTAATAAATGTAACTTCAGATTGAGGTCGCAGTTCACGGTAAGAAGGTTATGACTGGTCTTAAAGACGACTTGGGCAAACTTGACGGGGTAAGAACGAACTCCTTATTTCTGATTTAGACAAATTTTACACAGATTTAAAATAAATGATTGGCTAGTTGCTGTAGTTGGCCGTTTAAGCTCATGAATTATTCTATAAGAGTTATAAGTCAGAATTGTCAAAACTACCATTGTGGGGGTCGGGGGAGGGGAGGTGGATCAAAGGTGAGACTCCTTCCCATAAGGCATAATGTGAACTTAAATATCATTGTGCTGAATAGTAGTCTGATGAGGTTATTTAAATTACCTAAATTTAGGAAGTCAATGTGCAGTGACAATATACCTGTGTTATGTCAAATGTGTACCATAATTCACACACTCTCTCCAGGAACGAAAGAAAGTGTATAAAACGATGTTGTCCGAAAATGCAGGTTACTATTTTAAGAAAAATATTTGCTTTTAAACATTATTCTTTTGTGATTGAGATTTCGTTAGATTTACGAAGCATTAATGTAACTAAATTTATTTACCGCCGACTTCACAAATAAGGTTAATGAATAGAAAATTTAATTTCAGAAGAGATGAAAGAGATAAGCGACGATGTAAACGTATGTTAAACCTAACATTTAATTAGAAGATGTATCGATTCGACAATAAGTTGCTGTTTAAACTACTTAATAATAAAAAGTAACAATAATTAATAATTATGGATTTTTGAGGCGACAGTCAGGCGTCGTTAAGCATTTCTGTAAAACACACCGTGACTTATTCAAGTAATTATAAGTGAAACTAACTGCTTCTATAAGTAACAAAAATAAACCGTTACAGGACAATGTAAGTAAGACGAAGCAGTTACAAAAACTCTGGATCAGAAGTAAAGATAGTCACGCTCATGCCTTCAGTGTTACCATGCCCTCAATCCTAGAGGTACGACTTTCTACATTAATTACATTTCTGTGTGTTGGAAGATGTTGTACAGTGGTTTATTTTCGGAATGAGTCATCATCTTGATCAGAAATTGTGAACACGTATTAATAAACATTCTTATCCTTTATTTTCTTATCCTGTATATACACGAGATTGTCTGCTTGATTTAAAACTGCTGCAGTCAGGGCAACTTCATCCTGTACTTCTGGGCACCTCTGTCTTGAAATCGTTCCTCGTCTCTGCTGTGTTGTTGTTGGATCATGATGAGAACTAGTTTGGATATCTTCAGTTTAAGAAATTTTCTAAAACTTCGAACGGCAAGAGAGTAAACGAAGAAGTTAGCCAGGTATCGAACTGCTCGGGTGGTAACAGTGCTGTATCCCACTGTAAACCCCTGTAAAGAGTATCACGCTCCATGGCAGATAGGATAGTAACAGCACCCCCACAGTTAGCAGCTCATCCCCTCCTACCTTAGTCTCTTACCGTGCCTTCTTTGCTACCACTAGCAAGAGTATTGATGTGATGAGAAGTATGGAATAAGAGAGGAGGACTGATAAGATAACCCGATAACAACCGTAGAAACCATGTTGGGAGAATGAGATCGTGCGAGCTGTAACCATAGTTACACTGGTACTCTCGGTAACTTAAGTGTGTATCACGTGTATCATGAGCATCACTAGAGTTGGGGCAACACACCGTTATAACCCACACTGTAGATCTGATGATATGTGATCTGGTCTGAACCTAAAAGACCAAGCTAGGGTTCTGAGGGAGAACTTCACCACAGTCGTAAGTGTGCAGGGCAGAAGAAGTGCCTGTATATTACCCACATTACTAACAATCTCTTCCGAGGTGACAGAACAGTGTTCCCATCACCTAACCATCATGTATCAGCACTAGAGTGAAACACTCTGAAAACAGTCTCCAGAAGATCACAGATTGCCAAGTGCTGTATCACGGCTAATATCACCTTGTGTCGCTGATAGCCTTGTATTTTATGGTAGCTATGAGGATTATGCTGTCCCCTATTAGAGATATGAGAAGAACTATAGTGCTCCATAGAATTAGAATTTATCGCTCAGTGTCATGTGTTATCCCATGTCTTGTTGTTAGATGTTTTATTGTTCTGATCTGAATGGCTTATATACTTTAGCGACTTCATAGTAAAAAATGACGTCCAAAAAAGGTAGACTGTTATTTGTAAAGTATTCTAATACTCAGCAAATGTGAACCCGAGGGAGAGTCAATATCTGAAGTTTCAAAGATCTAGGGTAGCCTTTTCAGCTTCCTCTACCACGACATAAGCAGTTGTTCATAACCTAATGATCCCTTTTTCTGCAACAGCTACTCAATTCAATATCATCAAATCGAAAATTCCAGAAGTTCTAAAGTTCCGCAAATCACCATATTATCTGCTCCTGCCATTCAGGGACTGTTGCACAGAAATGAATCACGTGACGGGGTGATGCTACTCAGTTTAGTATTATAATCACTGGAACTAGTCCTTGTCTGGACTAGAGTACAGGCTAGCCCGTATATTCCAATACATGAGCACGTGAGATCCTCGGAACCCTACTACTTACACTCTCTAATATAGTGGATAATCTTCCTGTCATGAAAACAACTTATCTCTTCTTTGGTCGGGCATGACATACATAATATTCGTGATATAAACTTTAGCAGGAACTGCTCAGTGGCGTAACGTTGCATGTTGGTGCATCCCGCCGAAAAAGCTAGTACCTCAGTTAAGTTTTTCAAAATTGTCAAAATGGCGCCCTTCGTTACGCCACTGGAACTGCTAGTTCCGCTTGTAACGGATTTCTTTTCACGTATTTGAAATCCATCTGTGGTTTTAAAAGTTTCACCCATTTAACCATCGTGAGAGACGAAAGTGTAGACTTGGTTAATGGTGATAAATAAGCCATATTTGTTTTGACACGTGGTGGATTGATTCTTTGATAGGACACTGCTGGAAGCTGATTGGTTAATAGCTGTCACGTGTCATAACAAATATGGCTTACTACTCCTCCCCGCAAGTAAAATATGCCGTTACATTTTAAGACCACCTCTTTGTGTCTGCGGACAATGCCTGGGAAGAGTTTTAGTTAGAAAGAAAATTAGTGGTTGCTAATTATCACATCAGGACATCTTGCTTACTTTTACTTGCTAACCTAAGGTTACAGTCGAAAGTGACATCCTTGTTTCGCTGCCCTGACCGATGCCCTAACTTTAAGTTGATAGAATGTGGTTTGTCGAGCCCTGCATTCCGTTCTAGCATGCGGAGCCAACATTCTAGTCAGCATTGTAATACCTATAAAACCTGGTGAATAAACCACAGGACCAGACAGAGCTCCGAGAGGAGTCTGCTAAATACAAGAATAGATCCTGAGAATCGTCTGGATACCCTGTCTGGTCAGTTTTGGTGCCCAGACAAGATGTTGCCCTCTTTAAGGGTAGTTGCCCTCTTTTTGGGTAGAACCAGAGTTAGCAATATTATTGCAAGCAGGGTTTGAAGGAGATCCAGCCTAGACTCCTGCCTCAGAACTGTATTGGAGCTGCTGCAGGGAGGAGAATATTTGTTTCTCACATGCCGCCCGCTTTTGATACCAAATGTGGAGAATTTGTGAATTTATCGAAGATTATTGAATGCGGTAGTGGCCTCTGGAGCTGATTTTCAGGTTAGCCCAGGAAATGGTTTGGCTCTCATCCAAGTACCAGGGATCCCAATAGACGTCACATATCCTCTCATGGGAGGTAAAGTAGATGCCCAAAAATCCAACCAACCAGTAGTGGCCAAGTTGAGGACACCACGCACTCACTCGACAGTTTAATCGTCACGTCGATTGAAAAGGGCTTGTGATAATTTGCTAATCATTGGGAATGCTGGCATATAATAATGATATGCAAGCTACAAGCTGGTCTGATCGATTGCATATTAAAGCGTACAGACAGCACAATCAGCATGTCTAATGATGCTAGATACACTTTACTGGTCCAGCTATCTGAGTACCAAGAATAAAGTTAATATTCAGTGTATTTAATCTGCATTGCAGAGTAGAGGCTACACTGTAGACAGGGATAGACACACCATCATTACATCTTGATTTGAAGTATCGGAATGTGGATGCACTCGGCGAGGGACCAAACATTTTTAGCATGGAATAAATTATAATTCTCAAGGACAAATCAATCATAAATCCTCTGCTGCAGACAAGATCAATCAGATGACTGAGTTTTCTTGAATCTAATTGTCACGTACTGTAAAAAGGTTTAGATACACTATCCCCTTCAGGCCCAGTACTTCTGTACAGTGTACTTGGGTCCCCAGATCCTTTTCCTAACTACCTCCTCCGGGCCTGGTACTTTGTATCCCACTTTTTTTCGCCCACTTCCCAACATTGTCTCCCCATACCTAGCGTTAAGTTATAAACCCTCTTTGAACTCCGAGTACTGCCCTAACACATACTTAGGGTATGGTGGTTAGAGCAGACAAGGTTTTTAGGATACATAGTGCTAACACTGGTCGCTGGTTCTGAACTGTACTGGACCACGTTCACACTTTACGTGTAATTAAACTGTGCTTGATATCCGTTCAGTAATAATTTTCCAAAACAGGGTCAGCAACTGAAAAAATGTAATTCACTCATATATGATTTACCAATGAGATTTGTTCCACTAATTGTCCAATTACACGATCAGTTATTTGTATCAGTAACTTATCCCCCTCTTTCATCAGGAGCTCAACAACACGTCAGTACGGCGAGTGGAAGCTGTCTGCGACTCAGTGGGTCACTTCACCTCTCTCATCACCTCCACTTCCACCTCCTTCTCTACCACTTCATCCACCCTCCTCGCCGCTCAGTCTGCTGCAGAATCAGGTAACATTTCAGACATAACCCACATTCCTGGGCAAACCCACCCCAACACGCAGTCATCTGAAATCTGAATACTTTGAATATTTTAGCGTTATTCTTGGTTAATAATTCACTATTTAATGTCTCGTGCATCACGTAATACAGCGGCTGCTCCCAAATTACATAACAAATTACATGACTAAATGACGTGACACCATCTGACGTTTAATTTAGGCGGTGTCTGTCAGACAAATTTCGAACAAGGAAGTGTTGAGCTAGGACCTTATCGGTACACGATAGATTATACCTATTTATTTATTTATACGCTATATTTTAACAAGAAATTAATATTACCTGCTCTCGGGGGCGGTCAGACATAACGCCCACATTTTAAATGCTTTTCATAATCTTCATCTCTTCATCTAATATTGTTACAACAACCCAAACTATTCTTTGTTTGCTACGTTCACAGTACAACAAATGAACTCTGCCACGGATATATCTATATTATATTATAATAATTTTATATTGTACAATGTAACATCTAGTAATGCGAAAAAGAGCTATTTTGTTATAGCACCTTCTGCACAGTCGAGAGAAAATGATGGATTTAACACTTGAAATGAACCCCTCTCCAACCTTAGTCCACCAACTCCGGAAACCCCTCTCCCCCTCTAACAGTGTCATTATTTGCACATGACCCCTCTAATTCTCTAAACATTGTGCTACCTGCAACCTCCACAGTATTTAACACACCACCCTCCAACTCAGTGCGGTACAGTATGTCATGCAGTTCCCCCGAGCCCCCTGGAGACCTCGGACTCAACATGTCCCGGTCGGAAATGATGCAGTACTGTCAAACGCCAGCCAAGAAGTTTTTCAACAACATCCAGGTGCGTAGCATGATGCCCCGGAGGTGCTGGACAGCTAGAAATACAGCTGTGTGTGTGTGTCCTTAGTCGCATTAGTGTTTTTTAATGCAACATCAAATCAGTTTTATTAGTAACAAACTGTGGACGTGAGATGTTAAATAGTTTTGTGTGATCTGTGCTCCTGTGAGAATTAGTGATTTCACGACATTACGGCACTGGGAAAACTTTTAAAATTAGATTGCCATTGTACCCGACACCAGGTCGCTCGTCGACTTGTCTCTAGTGTGTGTGTGTTTTAGAAGAAACAATCTCCTCTCTCCAGGAAAGAGTGTTTCCTGTGGGTAACATGTTGGGTAACATGAACCCGATGAGAGAAAGAGTAGGCTCTGATAATGATAATCTCAACAGTCCACTGAGGGATATTTCACAGAAGGTTGCCACTATGTGGTCTAATATTAGGACTAGAACTCTATCTGGAAACCTCATCGAGACACCTCAAGGTTATTTCAGTTTTTTCAAGACAGCTAGAATTTCAAAGAATTTGGTAGCCTGTATTCAACTTAAGTTAACATAACTCACAACGAATTTAAAATAATATCGAAAACTGGACGTAGCGGGGAGGAATTTCAAATTAGTATACATTTTTTAGAATGAATTGTTTAATTGTATCGCCCCTAATGTTCAATTGTGTTGTTCCCTCTCCAATTCTAATCCGTAATTAATCCAGAGGATCTTGACACAGCTGACGATGCCCTGCTTGATCCTGAAGACGAAGATATCCTGGACCCGGGAATTGTGAAAGGTGATCAGAACTTCAGAAGCACTTCAACTTTTACACTTAGCTGTAACCCTTCACGTCAAATTGCCCTTTTACTTTCATATTTTTATTTGATCATTGGGCGTTGCCATTTCAAGACCTTCTGTAATATGTGTGGTTAACTGTTGTGTATAATTTAACGGAAAGATAAAGTTCACCTTCCCTCAATAACATCACTACCGTATACAATTATTATAAGCTGCACGGTTTCAGTGTGGTGCCTAAGTGTTTACATCTGTTATCACTAGTCACACTAACTAGTCACACTAACATAAAGATCGTGTAGGAACTGCAGCATTAGAAGATCAAGACAGCATGGCCGAGATACAGGACCCGCTGGAGAATATCCTACCCCAGTCATAGAATCCAAACCACCACAAGTGGACCTGACACCTTCTCTAGTAAACGTTACACAGACAGAAGTAGACGTAACGCTAGCAGAAGTGTACGTTATATCGTCCCCCGAGGAAATTAACTCGCCTGAAGTGGACCTTATATCGTCTCCGGAAGAAAGTACATCAGAAAAAGAGGAATTGGTGGATATCAGCCTCGAACATGTGCCGGCAGAGAGAGGTGAAGTGCTCAACGAACGAGATATTCAGATAATATCTATATCTAATGACCCAGGTTAGCGTGATATATCTCCATAATATAATATGTAACGACTCATGTTAGCAGATTTTGATAAGCCGGGTCGGTTTAATGTGCAAGAGATTCTGTCCGACTTCTCTATAGACTTTACGGCTAGCTGTAGCGGGTTTTTTATTTTTATCCTATCATTATTCGATTAAGCTAGAAGAATTAGTTCTCAAAAACGGTTCCGTATTCATTCATCTGCATCTTAGGTATTATGGCTTTACCGCTTAGTGTTTAAAATGACTCAAGCTCAAGTTGAAAATAATAAAAATCGGCGCCTTATATGTTAATGTTATCATACAATTTACTTATAGCTAGTAAACTGCACGTTAAACAATATTTACTATTCTGAGCATGTCTATTTTAGTATCTATATTACATGTTGTCATCTGGGTTAAATTCTTTAAATCGTCTCCAAAAAGTTATAAATACGAAATAATAATTTTAGAATAACAACATTTTTAAAAGTTTCTTCAGAAATTCTCAATTTATTTTTCTATTGCTAAAGAAATTACTCGTGCAACTAAAAGTTTTTTAGTAGTAATAAAGTGAAACTGAATTTAAAGTGTAAACACAAGAACACGGACAAAATTTGGTAATATTCTGTGAAATAAACAAAACTTCTACCATGTCTGTTGACTGCTGTTCGTCAAATTATCAACTAATTAATTGACAACCAATTAGTTAGCTCTGACTTCACAGAGGAAAGGCAGCTCCAGTTCACAGTTAGCGTTCCACCAGGCCTTGACTTCTCCCTCGTCTGTTTTGTCCGATAAAGAGCTGTCTATCCTTTCCTTACGGTTGTGGAAGTAAACCCCACAGTTTCCGTTATCCATTCTCAGGTCATGGTCTTGAGAAGGTTCGCTCTTCCTCCAATCATCTTGACCTATCTTAACTGGGGACCAATCAGCCTCTTTCTGACTGGGTACCGCCCATTTCCAGTCGTCCCCTGAGCTCTTCACTCCAATCCAAGCCCAGTTATCATAATACTCAATCACTTCCTTCCAGTTCTTACCCTCGAACATGTCGTCCATTGTGGAGAGGACAGAATCGATGTGCTCCACTGCTCCGGAACTCTCAATCAGAGAGTCAAAGAACTTCCTGTCTTCCAGTGTGTCCACCGACATTGACTGGATTGTAGCCAACCTAGAGCTCGAGTCCGCAGCTGCTCCTTTACATAAGTTGTTGGCCTTTGCAAAGTTCAGTGGGTCCTTGAAGTACTTGTAACATACACCTTGTCTTGCTGTCCACCCATCTGGACATCCTGACTGTCTCTTACTGAGAAACTCAACTTCACTGGCACAGTCACTACTTTCCATTGCTTCCATGACTCTATTACACCCATCACTGATAGCTCTCTTTCTCCGTCCACTACAGAGTCCAGAGAACCTCTTCTTTAAAGCAACACACATATCTCTCTTCCTCCTCACTTTTCTCTCCACAATAATCTCTCCACAACCCATCTCCTCGATCTTCTCCATAACCATACCGCAGGCTGGTTGTGGTTCAACTGATCTCTTGCACAACTCCATATCCTCATCCATGTTCATGCACATTTCCTCCCTCTTGGCTCGTTCCAGAACCATGACTCCTTCTCCACAGCCCTCCTCACTTCGGGTACACAAAGCTTCCTCTTTGTAGGTCACCAGACCTTCCATTTGGTATTCGGATACACATTCTCCCGAGGTAAAGCACTGGTAGTCGCTTTCTCCTAAAACTGACCGCCTTGTTCGCAGCAACTCTTGAATCTGTAGTAATTTGATGGGTTATGGACTTAAATTGGTTTTGGAAATATGATCTTGATTTCTGCTAGAAATACTGAAATAGGCTTATATTATAGGCTTTAGATGCACTCAAAAAAATATTATGTTTTCCAAATCTGCAGAAATTTGACAAATTATATTTTGATGAAGAACCGGGTGATTTAATTATGGACTCCTGTGCATGGATACAATATCTTTACAAAATTCTATTTTTGTAAGCATGGTTTGATTTCTTGCAGCCTTTTGTTTTTCGTCGACTGTTTCCACTGAAGTCAGAAACGGAGAACTAAAAGGCGGCAAACTTAGGGCCGGTATTTGTGTTTTGGTCGCTACTATTATAATTTCAACTCATGACTTTTCAGTGGCCACCTGCCCCAAAAGTGTTCTCTCAAATTAAACTGGAATTTAGAACCGAATATTTGCCACCACACTGATAAATTCCCACCACCCCATCCGGTCTAAGTTGCGATGTACGGTGTCAGTTAGTTCACAGTGTTTTAACGTTTTTAAGTAGCAAAGATGTTTCAAGTTTGCGAGCAACAAGCAACGTAGTGAGAATGTGGCAGGAATAGTCCGGCGTGCTCGTCACGGGTCACTCGTGTTTAGGGCAAACACTGAAGACTTGTATGTCATGAGGAACAGCTAGCGAGGCCGGGGCAGTTTTAACATTTTAATTTTTCACAGACATGCAATTTTAGAGCGCTGTCCTCCCTCGCTCTTTAGGTACTTCCTATGTGCTGCCCATTTCAGGTTGGCTGAAAATTTCTGATGAAAGTCGTTCTTTTCATGTCAAAATATTTTCCAAAATTTGCGGTGAACTGTGAAGTATGAACAAATTCGACTGTGGTCTGGAAGTTTTGTGGAAATATGTAAAACCGCACAAACCTGATTGAAGATCTCTTCAGTATTGGCCTCCGAACCTGTGATGGCCACACTACAAAACACCAATAAAACCGCCGACAACAACATGTTTGTACACTCAGAGACTACTACAGTAATTAACTAGCAACACCCCCTGACCGGTGGGGAGGTGCGAGCTCGGGGAGCTAAACCTACGTTACTTGGTGTGGTCCTGCTCGCTCTTTATCCGAGTGTATTAGTCATGTGGTACTGTCACGTGGTACTGTGTAATGTGTTGTGTATAGATACTGTGCTGGAGATTGGGGATATAGAATATAATTGTACTGGCAGGCTTCTTTCAAACAAGATGTAAGGTGGGAGATACGGGGGTATTCTGGGTTAGATTTACACTTAGGGTGGGACACACTACAGTGGATTAAAACCTTTTAAAGAGAGGTGAAATGGTTGATGTGGGGGTGTGTTCATCATGGTATGGTGTGCAGTTGATCCAGGTTGCCGGGGATTGTACCGTCTTCTGTTACATTTACTACTCTCTCGATATACATACAGTATACATTCTAACTTTCTAATGCTGCATAATCTAGTTCAAGTGTTTTAAACAATGCATATACATGTTCGAGGGTATATTAGAGATAGAAGTAATATTACATATCTAGATGTTTGGTGAAAAATGTTTGAAATAATCGTCTTTAGTTGAAGATGAGGGTTGCAGCTTGAATGTGAGAAAATGTAAATTTCTTAAACCCGATAAAGATAATCCAAAAATGTTATTTGTGGGTTGGGTTTGTCAAAGTAAAAGGTAATATTGAACGTGTTCACTTGTCCGTGAATTTCATACAAGAAAAAAGCGTGAAAAAATCATGTTATCATATATAATATTACTTATTAGTCTCATTTCGTGTTATTTCCAATTGAGAATTACAGAATTGTTACCAAGATGCTGTACGTGCATTTGTCAGAAGTTATTTAAATCTGTTGTTTAACAGATGAAGATGAGTTTAAAATCTAGAATTTGTTGGCGTGGGATGATACGACAAGTATTTGATTTTTAATGCATCCTGGCACAAAGATTTAGACTATTTGTTTTGAGCCAGTATTGAAAGTATCAAAACAGGCAAAAGTTTAAAAGTCTTGATAATAAGTTCAAATAGAAACTTTCATCTTAAACAGATCCTTCAAGTTTGACCGTATTAAATAGTTCACATTCACAAGCGTAAAATTTAGTGAAATTTTAAACTCCAAATCAGTCTAACTACAGATCGATAATTCCCCAGAAATTGGGAGATCTGAAAATAACAAGATATTTATTGCTCTATGTGCAATGTGCTTCTCGATTTATCAACATATTTCTATAGCATTATCTGAAATATCACACTTGGCACTTTCCTACTGGTCGACTATCATGTGACAATCATATCAGATATCCTACCAAGGTTATGAATTTCATTATTTTAACATCTTATGGTCTTTCAGTGTGAACTGTCAATTTTGACTATATTTCTACCATTTTCTAGATGCAGCTGACGAGTACGTGGTGGTAAACGAGTGAAATCTCCAAAATATATGCGGATTACGAAGTAGAATAATTGCGGAGTAACAAGTTGAAAGCTTGCGGAGTAAGAACTGGATTTCCACTTTCCAGTCATCAAGTAGCGAACTTTAAGAGCCCATGTGACGCTGCTGGTGCAGTTAATTTTCTTGACGTTTGATATAACAAAGACATTTTCTGAGCAAAACTAATAAAGATTTTAATATTATTGTTTGTTTATGATCTCAGAAAGGTAAGAATAAAGAGTATTTATCTTGTTATTAACAACTATACTGTAGTGTGACAGTAACTACTCTACTGTAGTGTGACAGTAACAACTCTACTGTAGTGTGACAGTAACAACTCTACTGTAGTGTGACAGTGAGTTTTTCTCTCTGACATATAAATTATAAAGCCTAACGGCTACCGGAACTCAAGAGATTTTTTAAAGAGAAAATTATTGTGGCGCCGTCTGGGGACTCAATAATTGGATCCACGGCATTCCTAATAAGACGTAAGAATTTTAGAGCACCGGTTAAATAACAAATCCTCCCCAACATAATGTGATGACAGACTTTAAGAAGGAACCCCCCGTTCCATTTTGTTGCAATTCTTTCTGTATAATTATGACATTTTAACCCGTACAAATTAAGTGATGATCGCACAAAATCTTTCCGTTTTGCAGTATTTGACCACCAATGTGTGTGTAAATTAAGAGTTAAATTATACAAATTTGATAGCTGCGTGAGGACGTTTTTGTAGCTTAGTACAGTATTATATCTGGTTTAGATGGATGGAAATATAAAATTGCATGTATATATAGCGTTGATAATGATTTAGACATCTGTGATGTATTTGCTGGAGCTTTATTAATATTTTAGTGATGTAATAAGGATTAAATTTGTGAAATTATGCTGTAAGCGATAATTTTTTAGCGTTTGTTATAATTCCATGTATTTTCCTTGATTTCTTCTCCTGACACAAAGTAAAACACGCGAAGTTAAATGAGAAAAAACAACAATTTTGAAAAAAAATATTTGAATTAACATTCCAAATAGTCCTCTCCAGTGACTGTTTAAATGCATTAATTCAAAGAATCTGAAATATCCATATCCTGGCCTGATGTGTGAGCGACCATTCAAACAAAAACTAAGGACACAACAGCTCATGGCACGCGGTTTACAGTAACACTACCGTCTTAAATTTCAAATATTACGGTATAATAATCCCCTTCCTCGTTATATAATGACATTGTCCATCTGTGTGTGAACAAATAATTTTCCAAGTCCGCATCGGTTTTCAGATTCTAGGTATACACGACATATCATCATCATAGCCACTATTTAGGAGGGTGACATCAGCTAATCTAATCTACAAATAGGATTAAATTACTACTCGTTACCCAAGTATAATATGCGTTTAAATTAATCTCTGAATGTACGCGGAATCCTTGGAACTGGATATCAATAGGGATGTGACGAATTTCACGGCATCGTGACGAATATAAATTTTAGTGTGTAAATTGTTGCGTACATGTACAGCTCAAAATAGTAACTCAAGCATCCGGTAATACTAAATATGGTAATGTTGGACCGAATCTCGAATGTTCTCTCGGTTTTATTTAAGAAATGAAAGATGGAAATGCGATTATAAACCATGAAAAATCCTCTTGATTGCATCTTAAGTTATGCAATTCAGCTTTATCAAACTCCCGCCTAAAAACGTATAAAATTAGTAAACCACTGTTTAGTTTTAGTTAACAATTTAGTGAACATGAATATTGAATTAAAGTTTGACTATTTGAAGCGAGAAGGAAAAAGGAGCAACGTCATATGGAATTTTTTAATCAAATGTTGACTAAAATATCTCGTTAAAATTAAATTTGTTGCTTATTTTTCCTTCGAGTTTTCAAAGCTAGACTAGTAATCAGCCGTTCATCAGCATTTGAATAACATATCGAATGTTCCTAACTCAAAAACATATTTTCAAATCAACAAAATGTTACATCACAAATCACGCGAATAGTAATACGCCTTTCACAAACCTATCTGACTCAGAAAAAAACAAACTTATTATTGACGTAATGAAACGCAATTTTTAAAAGGGTGTACTTTGGGAACCGAATTTTAGGGTCCAAGAATTTGGAATCGATTAAAAAAGGAAATGTTTATGGGGCAAGGTGGCATGTTCGGGGTGCAGCAATCATATTATTACGCGTGAAAATCACCATACAGTCATTAACAATCGTTTATCATGTGATTCCAGCAGACATTTTCTCGATAAATAGAGCTCATGCCGTAGTTGTTGTAATTCAAGTCTTTTCGGATATTCTGCGTCAAGTAATGTAGTGTAGTCCTAGTCCTATAAATCTGCCGTATCGCTCTCCATCTCTCTCTTTTCAATCTGCCAGCACCAACTTCTCGTCCTGGCTAGCCGCTCAGCCACTCCAGCTTCCATCTTTCTCAAGCTTCAATCAGTCCTTATCAGGTACATTCTACGTATCACCCGATGTTAGAAAGTTTACCTGCATCTGCAGGCATTTACCACAAACTGGGGCAGGATGGACTTTACCAGGGAGCCGTCTATCTGGTAGAGCGCCACAATCTCCTTGTAAGAGGCCTCCTGACAGCAAATCTTACCTATCTTCTCATTGGGCATCATCTGGGCGATCTTGTGTTTGGCTAGAGCGTGAGGGATGAGCATGTCCATGTTGGTGCAGGTCCCTTGACACACTCCAATATCCACCATCTTAGGTATCAACATCCAGGAGTCCCAGCCTATGTCAGCCAGGTTCAGGTCAAACTTAACTTTCTGACAGGGGAAAGCCGGTATTTCCAGAGGAGTGACGTCCTTGTATTGGATGGTACGCTGAGAGTCAGGAGTGAAGCCGGTAGCACCTCTTTTCTTCCTCTCGATGATGTTGGTTACGTAAGCTAGTTCCTGTTTCTTGCTAGTAGTGATAACAATGAAGGGCGTGGTACAGCTGGTGTCCTCCTGTAGGATATCCTGGGCTGTGTACGGTAGTCTCTGTCTGGACACGTCGTGGACCAGCACTTTGACCCGGAACCGCGGGAAATCCAGAGACTCTCGTCTCATGTACGGGGTCAGATTGGCACTGATGTACCCGGACGGCATGGTGGAGTCCTCTCCGGACACCATGAAGGTCTCGTTAAAGATCGGGAACTTGAACTCCTGCTGGTGACCCCTCCTAAGGAAGTGTATAATTACCGTTACCCTGACCCTTTCTCCAGCACTCAGCATCAGGACTTCCTTCAACTTCTCATGGGATATGACCACCAGCTCCGCCTTCAGAACTGTCAGGTCGCTTTCCTTGGAGCCGATGTAGAAGGTGAAGTCCAGTGAGTTCCCCGTCCAATGCTGCCCTGAGAGGAGAGGTAGGGATCAAAACATGCCTCACCTTGTATTTGGGATGATGACGTCACGTGGGGACTGCTGGAATGTCACGTGACGTCATCGCACGTATCATGCAGAACTAGAACATGCCACCCGCCTCCACATTTAAGATTTTAAGAGACTGGGAGTGTTCGGGTAGTATTACAAAGGTATGTGGGTGAGTTGTGTGACATAAAGATCTCGATATTTCTCAAAGAACCCAACATATCTGAGTAGCGTATATATATTCAAAGGTACTTTCAAAGAAACAGTTTTATGTCACGTGAAGTAATATAACAAACATTTTACGCAACATCTTATAAGATCTCGATGTAAATATTTAAATCCACTAACATCTGACAAAAGCTATTCATTGTTTTCAACATAAGTCAATAATGGGTGGTCCCACGTGACATGCACTGCTCACATCCAACTAGTATTTTACACAAATATACAATAAATATTCTCTAGTGTTAGGAATAGTATAAACTCATAATGTAAAAAGAAAGTTTTCAGCGGCATCTACATTCCTTTACAATTATTTTAGGCATGCTCCCAATAACGATTTCGTGTTTGCTCTTGAAATACAGGGCCGATATTTCCTTGTAATTGGCCCCCTGGCAGCACAAGATGCCCGCGTTTCTAGCAGGGTGCATTTTCTGAAGGAGCTGCTTGACCACTGCATGAGCAATATTGTTATCAGCGTCCAGACACTGCCCGCCACAGTCCCCTATGTTTACGTCTTTAGGCGTGATCACAAAGTCCCAGCCTATCTCGTCGAAGTTGATCCACAGGTCCTGTCTCCTGCAGTGGTAGTTGACTTTCTCCAGCTCTGTCACGTCTCGGTAAAGGAGAGGTGTGGCCCAGTTCTTGGCCCGTCTCTTGGTCCTCTTGTTGTCTCCAACCCAGGGTCTGTCTCCAGTAGTGATGAAGGGTTTCTGGATCTCGTTCACCACGTCTGTGTCGAGATTCTCCCTGGTTCGGACGATCAGGAAGGGTGTCACACAGCCCCGGTTTATGAGGAACTTTGAAGGAAGAGCGTCTCCTCCCATAAAAGCCAGGGAGAGGATGAGCTTGGGTTGAGGGTAGGGTCGGTTCATGACCCGGGACAAATAGTCCATCACGTTCACACTGATAGTACTAGAGTTCCTTAGATCCACCACAGTGGAGGATATTCGGCGGGGGAAGGTCCTGAAGCCCCGTTTCTTGAAGAAGAGTTCCACCACGACGAACTCTGGTTCAGGGAGCTGATACTGGGCTAGCTTACTCCGGAGATCTGAAACTGAGATGACGTGCAGATCCGCACCCACCATCGAGCTCATGGGAATCTTCCAGTCGTTCTCAAACGAGAATATTATGTTGTTTTTATTGCGACTCTTGCCTGAAAGTGCGGGTCGGGGTTGAAAAATCGCACAATCGGACCCCGGCACAGTTTCCCCCTACTTTTACTCTTACAATTTCTCGTGGGATAAAATGTCCTCAAGAGATTTAGAGATGGTGTGACATAAAATCTGAGGTCATTTTCACAGTCTTTAAATCTAAGTTAAACTATTAAGTTGTATTCATCAGCACAAGCGTGCAGCATGCTACATCACAATACACCCGCTAATATAAGAATCGCAGGTTCCTCCCCAGTGCCGACGACATAATATTAATCTATAGTTTTATTATGCGGAGAGAGCTTCGCGATTCAAAAGCTGTGGTTGTTTTAAATGCGATCTTATTCAATGAAGTTTTAAGACCATGTATCAGTATGTTCAATAATTGTTTGAATAAAAATCGCACGTGAGGATTGGCCAGCTCTGAGTTTAAAACGATCATCAGTAGAAATAGTTCAAACGATCATAGAGTTGTCAAATATAGTACAAGGGAGGAACCCACGATCTGTGACGTCATCATTTAGAGAATACAGGGTCAAATGACGTCATCATTGCGAGATATACTACAAAACACTGACGACACGCCATGCATGATGTACAAGTGAAACGGGTAAAAGTGTGCACTTACCGTTGCTGGCAAAACTGTGGACTTTGGTCTTTGAGGAGGTGTTGTCTTGGGATTCTTCGTAAAGGTTAACCTGAAAAGGGAGATTGTGTGAGAAAATGTCGTTGTATATAGTAAATTAGAAGTTAATTTAGTTGTTATATCCAAGTCGTAATAGTGATGACAAATTAATAGCTATATATCACGTATCCACGTACTGGCAAATAAACAGCTAGATTTTACGGTCATATTGCAGTTTCGCCATGTCGGTATAAAAGAAGAAATCTGTGTCGGATCATGAATAATAATGGTATATGATTTTGATGGATGAAAATAATTTTGATTATTCACTTAAAAGGCATGATTTTATATTAATATTAGGTCAGAGGCCTAAGAAAATTAGAAATTTGTGAAATTGGATACCAGAAAACATAGTAGTTTCTATGCTCCAGCAGCTTTGTGATCGAATAAATTTTGGATGGAATCACATATAAACTTATAAGGGCGGCTAATAGTTGTTTGGCAATCTACTCAGCTACTCGCAACGCGTTTGCTATTCATACCCCAAACTAAGAACTACGGTACTTTGATTGACTAGCCCCAATTGGTTACTTCATCATCTTTACAGGGTCAACCTACTCTGAAATTAGATCACGAATCCCCAATGACCTCTCCATTTGGCAACATTTGCGCACTGGGCAGGGTCCACAACATCCCAGAAAATGACCACAAATCCCATCTACCAGCAAATTTCCTACCCTCTGCTTGTCCCTTCAAACCCTTAAAGCCGTTTCATGGCTCCTGGTGTCACAGCATATTCCTGGTATTTCTACCGCCTCCCGGCTAATGAAGAGATGCACAAAATAGTTGTGGTAGAGCTGGGTGGAGCGGGTGAAGGGTAATTGACTGTAGACTAGTAGACTAAGTCGCTTCCGCCTCCCTCCCTCCCTGCCCCTGTGAGCTTGTCCTACGTCTGGGTGTTAGGAAGGTAATAAACGTCATTATTTGAATGAGGGACCGTTGCCAACCGGCAGCTGGTTCTTTGCAGAATTAAACCTCAATTACTCATCTTCCGGTGGGACCCTTCCGGTGATTTTGTCTCTGAACGCTTTTTAAGTGTGAAAAAATGTTTCCCATTCCTAGAACTTTCTTTTGGGAGCGACAGAACGGAGCGAACAAAAACGCCCTCAAATTTGCATAATTTGTCTTAAATCATAAATAGTTAAAAATTCATCCTGGGATTAAACCCAACCATTTGCGGTTGGTACGGACAGGTCGACCACGAGGGAGATGAGAGGGGAAGGATGTAAAGTACTGATCTGTAGGGGGTTGTACTGATCGGGTAATCGTGCCGAGGATCGAGGTGGAGATGTGAGTGAAGGATAATATTGAGTTCTATAATCTATATTGGGTTGTGCTGTAAAGTGGTAAAGGTAAAAGGGGTGAACTTGAGTTGAGCGTGAGGGTTTGGTGGGGAAGTATTTGTCGGAGTAAAGTGTAAAGAATCATGTAGAGAATAAGCCAAATGGCCAAAGTGGTAGATGTTGTACTTACCATGTAATCGTACTGGGGTAAGCAGACTTGGTAGGCGGGACGAGGGAGAAGGGGCAGGAGTAGTATCAGGTAGAACATCTTATAGTTAGTCACGTGTCTTCCATGCATTCCATCGCAATTGCTGGTAAAATCAATTTTGGTTAGTCGTCAGGAATGACAAGTTCGATTAAACATGAATGGGTAAGCATCAAGTTCAACAATTCTTACATTTACCCTCTCTTACCCTTTATCTTAACTCCGATATCTTACCCTCCTCAATGCCTAACAAACATCCTAAAATCCTGCCAACCCTTACTCCTACAAGTACAATAACCATAAGTCACCACCCTTCCCACAGCGCACAACCAAAGGTTAACATGATCTAACCGTCTGATGAAATGTCGAAGATTAATACTAAAATAAGGTGAACCCTAAACAACGTTCGGTTCACTAATAACAAACATAAAATACACATAATTAGAGGTCCGAGTACTATAAATACAATTTAATATCGGCTGCTGCTGCCGCGACCAGGACGATGACGATGATTCCGGGTGAATCAAATTACCCGAACATATGGTCACACACATACAAACTCACAATTAAATGGAGGAGTGGATAGTTGGAGGAGAGGGACCCCCTAACCCCCGTTCTACTAGGTCCATCCTCCTTTCCTGTCATTAACATGACAATTGTTTCTTTTCAAGTGAACACAATGTAATGATAGCCGATAATCTGTTCGAAATATTTCCGAGTCCCCAATACCCCTAATTGGGGGCACTTCTCCCGTCCTCTCACTCTCTCCACACACTCAAATTAGTCATTAGAGCAGCTCTCTGAATAGGGCGGTAGTATAGTCGGAACCTACATTTACATTGTTTTCCGGAACAAGTATCTAGCTGAGCATGAACCGCTGCTGGCAGACACTTGTAATGTATTGTAACCAGAGATTTGGGATTGCAGCAAGGTTTCAGGTTAGCTGTACAATAATTACGTGGACGGATGAGACTGTTGCATGAATAAAATAATACCTGATTCTAAACGCAGAAAATCTTACAGGATCACGCACGGTAATGGAGATAAAGTTGAGAAATGGAGCCCTGAACAAAGCTTGTCTGTCTTAAAATGCAATTTGTTGGGAGTGACAATGTAAATTTAAACCAGGAATTGCCTGACTATATTGTGTCTGTTTGGATCGGATTAACTATAATCGTTTTTTTAGGTATTTGTTTTAGGTATTTGTGAATCGTAATATAAAAATATTCAAAGCTATAAAGCGAGCTGAAAGTTTTAGGATCAAATCTCGCAAAAAAAGAAAATTCTTGTAAAACTCTTTGCAATATATGAAATAATACAATTACGAATGAGAGTCAGCTATTCTTAGGAATGAAAAATTTCTTCCTTAAAGGTGCAAAAAACATAACGTGACCATAAAATCCAATTTAAGGATCCAATCAGTATGATAAGGAAATCCAAAACCCTGCGTCCTGGCATAGCAGGCATACCTTCGAAAAATGGAGTATTAGGTAACACCAACACGATATTTTAGAATGCGGAAATGAAGCATGTCCTCAAGAGTTACCAAATTTTAAAATGATTTGATCTAACGACTAAATACAGAAAATGGGTCATCTTGAAATTGATCTAGAATCGTGAATCAAGTGCTGTAATAAATCAAACTCTGTTTAGACGACATACTACATCAAACGAAAAGCAGCAAAAACTGTGCCGTATTTCTCGGCAGACTTTTAAAAGAGCAAATATCTACACGATTAATCTTTGAAGACTAAGTACAATTTAATCAACATGAAGTATTGAATTAGAATGGCGGTGCTTGATGTACTCTCCTACTCCGAGAGACTGAACACTATCATGTTGGTAGCTCTGCTAAAACTATTGACCGAATAATTAATACGAGATCTTGACTGACGTCTACCTTTTAAAAGATCGCTCTTTAAAAGGCGCATATCATCATATTTTCAGTGGTCAAAGTTAAGTAGCAGCAGTAGCAGCAACTTGTGAAAAGTGTTTAAATTGATACTAGAACGGCGCGTGACAAATGCATATGGTACTCATAATGCATGACGATCACATCAGTGCTTGTATAACATGCTTAAAAGTGACCTCAATTCAAGGTGATCAAACGAATAATACTACAGCTGCTGCTCCCAAAATTATCCAATCCCTAAATTTAATCCTGAATTTAAACCCTTGCATGACAAAAGCGTGCATTGGGCCGGTCCGGTATATTATTATTTTGTCAACCGGTCAAAGCACCGTATTTAAAGGTTTGGTTAACCACAGCAGAAGTGCAACTCTCCCACATGCCATAACGTCATCACAACCCCGGTAACGGGAACTAAACCCCAAGTCTAGCAGTCACGTGACACTATAAGTTAGTAACTAAAGTATGTTACAATTTGCCAGGCTGACAGTCTGATAGTGTAGACGACACTGCGTTCCAGCTAGCTCTCAATAGAACTACACGTCGTAGAACTGACAAAGGAAACTGTGAGCGGGGGCTTACACGTGACTGTTTGTTCGGACGGGACCGCGAATACACTGCTGCCGAGAGAGAGAGGGATTTTGCCACATCCTTGTCGAATATAATTCGAGCGTATGGAGACCAGCAGTTTGAATATATGCACATAATATCCGTGGTGATGTCGAGCCCTGATCTCTCCCATGACTATCCAGGTGTCAGTGGCCGTGTGGTGGCCGTCGTAAGTACTGTTAATCAAATGCTTGCAAATTCCTGCCGACATTTTTGATCATAGCATGAAAATATGAAATGGATTGTGATACTGTCATCGGGAACCTCCCAATTCTCAGACGATCGATTAGCTTAAAAAGTTTGACGACGGCGGAACACGCCGTCTGAAATTCTTGCATATATGTGCTAAATTCATGTGTTTTGTGTGAAAAGGAAACTCTGGTTGCATTCCGCTCCTCTAGGCGTTCTAGAGAACGATCATATCCCCTTCAAGTTCAACCAACAAAAATCATGAGGTAGCAAACGACATTATCTGAGTATCTAGTAGTATCACTAAAGGGCGCAAACAATGTTAAGTTATAATTTGTATATGGTGTTGCAAACAATGCAAGGATGATAGGGAGAATAATGAACTGTCAGCACAAGTCACATTCGAGCATAAAAATCTGAAAATGGAGCTCATCATCTGCCATCACCCGACTTCTGATGAGTGATTAAGATTAGGGTCTAGGAATTAGATCTATCGGAAACTCAATCTTGTGGATGATACTGAAAGTTTATAAAATCAAGGGAACCCGATCAAAAGGTTCACCATTAGTAGGCGAAAGAATATCAAACAGATCGATTATCTAAATTAAATTTCAGCTACTTAAGCTGTGGGAAAACTACTTTTGCTGCTGGCGGAGTGGGAATGTGAGGCACAGCGTGTAAGGAAATATGCTCAACTAACACTGCACAGATAATTAATTAATTAATAGCAGGGGAACTATTGGTCGATGAGCAATAATTAAGTGCCAGGTAGGGGCTCGGATGTCATTAAGAGTGCTGGAGCAGTTGTTCCTTGTGGCGGGTGTTAGTTGAGTCCATGTTGGGTCATATGATAAGATGTTGGGTCACGTGAGATGAGATATTAGAGGAGCTGGAGGACAACCACACGCCCTGGTGATGAGAGATCTGTGAGCAGGTTGTAGAGTGAGAGAAAGAGGGAGAGGGAGAGAGAGAGAGGGAGCAGCGGACTAGTGAGCAAACGCGTGAGGTAATTACAGAGAGTAGAGTAGGATGGAGTGTGATGCGTACTTGCGAACCTCATACAGGACACGGTATAACAACACTACTAAGTAGAACAGATCTCCTAGCCAACACGACCATCATCTCTCTCCCCATCTCCCTCACACAACACAAACTCAAATCAGATTTGGAACAAAGAGGTTGCTAGACGTTATATGATGTCCGTGCTCCCGGAGCCCCCTGAAACCCCCATTACCGGTCAGACGTACAGGGTCCAGATGTTCTCCCTTCACACTCTTTGACCCTAATTCGGTTTCCTGGATATTGCCCTAACCTGGGTTAGTAACCATCAGTTCGGACCATTCTGACCAGGGGTCTCCGGGGTCACGATCTCCAAACGGTGCTGGATGATGCACTAATGACGTGGAGTATGCTATACTGTGACCTGAAATACTGTAGTGCGACGGTGCTGAGTACATATTACACAGGTGCCACCTGGGAGATCAGGATCAGTCATCACACTGCCCCCAGCTCACTTTATACACGACTACTTATCAAAACATCCGAGAGAGAAGGGAGAGACGTATGAGTCCTTGTAATTGGAGGGCCGCTCTGTTTACTGGGTCTAATTAGATCCTGATCCTTACCTCATATAATCTAGCAGGGGAACAGACAGACGGTGAGGAACCGTTTGACAATGACAGCTCCGTGACATCAGCGTGCATATCATTGGTGCTGCTGCTGCTGCTTTGTAGTGAAATGATCACAAGAAAGAGCCGATAGTTTTTTAACTAGGAACACGTTTGTTAAAACTATTAGGTGAGTGAGACTTGGTTCTGATGAGATAGCTGTAATTACAGGGAACAAAGCACAATTATTAATCTACGGTTCCCTCTAGAATGTTCGGTGTGCAGTCGATAATTTAACTTAACAAACTTAACAAACATACAAAGAGAAATGACTGGCGCCGTCACGTTCCAATTCAGATGTTATTAAGTTTTACAACTCAAACTTTTTACAGTCTGTTTCATTGAGAAACTTTCGAGAAGAATTATTTTCCGAATCGAAACTTCTGATTGAGTTGAAAACGATAAAAAGCTGGTAAAAGTTTAACATAGCATAGTGCATGTATCAAGTTCGAGTAAAAATCCGAAATAAAACCACTTTGAGAAAAGTGACATCTTCCCAGAAAAATGTGACATTAATAATTCAGTTTCACTGCAAAAGAAAGACAAACTAGAACATGAGCTCCCAACATGACACAGTTTAACTTTTATCAAAAAATTCAAGGTGAATGACCAAGTTTTTTTGCTATCGGACACCACAAAATCCTAAATGACTGAGGATGGATATATTTTCGTGGAAGTTCTCAAAACTAGAAAAATTAAATAAAAGGTAATAAAAACTATTACAAGTTCAAACCCTGTTGAACTATCTGTACCAAAGAATTCTATTCCGTCC